CCGTGTAAATAAGAAGGACAAACACGGCGAAATTCTCGAGTCCGCGTGATTTTTACGAGCGGAGGAAACGAGCACGGAGGGAGGAGAATATATCGTATTGTAAGTGGCGCTTTAATGAAATCGTTATTGCACGACGCGGCGGGTGGTGGCACGCTTCGCTATTATTTAATTGCGAGCCGCTATTTAGCCAACGATTTTTCTCCGTTAACGACGGGGGAAAAATCTACATGAAACGAAATTGGTCTCCGTCGCGGAACACGTCGCGAGAGGAACACCTCACGTGTTTCGTTACGACACCATGTGTGACGTATCGGGGATGGAAATTAATTTCTTCGCCTCTTTTCAACACCAAGTGATAAAGTTTTTCAATTTCGAAAAAATAAACGATAATTTTGAATTTTCCATCTCATCAAATGATCACAATTATCAATATTACAAACGAGTAAAGATATCGAATCGATTAATTGGTACATTTAAAACGTGCGCATGGTGTCGCATTTGACGAATTATTTTGTAAGACGGATGACACGTTCTCGAGAGAAAAATTATTATTACCAATCGCGACATGACGATCGAGAATTGTAAATGAGATCGATTCAATTTCGGGCGGATGTTTAATTAATTTGTGGATCGGTCGTTTCTTGCTTCCCTATGAATTAATCTCGATGTAACCGCCGTTGATTCAATTTCACTTCGTTTAATTATTCACCCGGACGACGTTGTTTGCATAAAAAGCGTGCTGAATAGCGGGCGTTGTTAAAAAAAAAAAAGAAAAAAGAAAAAAAAAACGGAAAGAATGGAGGAAAATGCGCGAAAAGAGGCACGACCTTGTTTCCAAGTTTGCCTTTGTGTTTCGATAATTGCTTCGATAAGCCGTACACGTCTATCGTGACAAGGTAATATTTTCCTCCAACGCACATACTTTACCGATATTTAAGTCTCGGTAATTTTCTAACTACTTAAATCGACCATTTATTCACCAGGATCGTTCGTTTAAATCGTTCTCGAAATAACTCCATACAAAACTTGGATCAGAACCAAAGAATCGGAGCTAGCTACTTCTAAATATTAGTCTTAGACAGAAGGAATTCGACCACTAGACCGTTCGCACTGACCACCATTCGGTAAATAGAAAATCCAAATGTAGCACATTTTTTCCTGGCTACGCTCCAAAATAATTTGAACAATCAATGCGAAGTGTCAACATTTTCACAAAAATATTGGCCACCACGATTTTTTGCCAATATTTATTAGTCATCCTAAATTCTAAAATATTTTTCAATGGTAAAAACTTCATTGGATTGTTCAAATTAACGAATAAAAATATAAAACGAATCTAATTTTCCTAACTTCAAAACTTTCATCCGAACAATCGATTGACGAGAGATTTCGAGATACGAACAATTCTCTCTAAAAGTATCAACCATTACGATATTTTCATCAATATTTAAAAATTATTAATAAATCCTAAAATATTATTCTTCGACTACCTTCGATTACTTTCACCCGATATAAAAAATATAAAATACAAATACAATTAATTTTTTCTAACTGCACTCCAAATCTTTTTGAACAATCAATAAAATTGGAATAACAGAGGTGTCAAATCCCTGTGGAGGATTTCATTGAAATAGCATCACGATCCTCTCGTCGATCTGTCGTCCCTTCAAGGGCCATTCCTCTCATCGTCACGATCGCACACGAGTGGGTGTCACTTAACGATTGCGTTACGAGTGAGAGGTAGGAGGCACGATAACGAGCAGGTAACGCGGCGCTATTATCAATTTAATTGGTAGATCGTGCCGAGGTATCATCGAATAATCGATACACCGAATCATGGGTCGGTCTCACAAAGAGAGCCAAGTCTTGGAAGAAATTAATAAATCAAGACTGGTTTGGTGGAGGCCACCATGGCGCTCCTTCGTCATTCCAAACGTTTTGTATCTAGTCTTTACGGCATTCCAACCGTGAAAGAAACGCTCGCCTAATAATCGTTTTCTAGCCTTTTTCACATCCTCGTTTTTTTTTCTTTTTCCTTCTTGCATTTCTTCGTTGCATCTTCATAAACTAACCTATCTTCCTCCGTCTTGAAACGCGACTGCTTATTAAATGCCTCGTGTCTGCTTATCTGTTAGTTTTATCCCTTTGTTTCGAGAAACTATCGAAGACTATGGAAGGCAATCGGGACGAAGAATGGGACAAGTTTATCGCCGAATTATCGACGGGATGATAGGAGAGTCTAGACCTCAAAAGAACAATTTCTCGAAGGATAAAGAAATCGATGAGATTATTTTCTGTAGATATTTCCGTCTAGCCTTCACGTTTTTCTTTCTCTTTCTTTTCTTTTTTTTTTTTTTTCTTTTTTTCCTGAATGGAATCCTAAACGTTTGATAGAAAGTAACGATAAACCGACTCAAAGATTCGCCTAAATTAATATTCACGTCAGTGATCGTTCTAAATATACCCTGATCGAGCTATTCGAGTGGGTGATCGTGTATATACGCGATTTAGCGGCGCGTAATCGCGCCAATAAAATTAAAAAACCGCCTATAAAAGATCTGGCGGTATCTCGACCAGAATCCCTTCGAGATTCGAGTCGAGGATCTCTTCAACGCTGGAGGTAAAAAAAAAAAAAGAAAAAAGAGAGAAAGAGGAGCATCGATGGCCGGATTAATCGGGGCCATGTGCGCCACCAATCCGTACACGGATATATCGACACTAATTTTTTTTTCATCCCCCTTAACCCCGTTAAAACGTGAAGACAAGTCGGTATGAAGAAAGAGAGAGAGAGAGAGAGAGAAAATTCGTGAGAAAAAGCAAAGACGAATCATACCTTGACGAGCAGGTGGATTGGCTGGCTGACGCTGAGTGGTTTGCCTCTTCTGGCCTTTCCGCCTCCGCCGCCCAAACACTTTATCCACGGCATTCCTCGAGTGTTTTCTCGCCTCTCCGTTGCCTCTTGTTCGCGACTCCGATTCCTCTCCCTACTCTTCTCTCCCACGATTCTCTCTTCCTAGCTCGTTCCTCGTCCTCCTTCCGCAAATCCCTCAAGGCTTTCCGCTCGTATCCGCGTCGCTCGTTCGCTGCATCTCGCGGATTCCCCCTCTCGTGAGAACTTTTTAACTTTTTAAAATTCACGCGTTTTCAACACGCCGATTATATATTTAAAACTCGACGCGAGTCTTAATAATATTTTTCTTTCGCACGCAAGAATCCTCTTCTCCCAAATATCCGAATTCCAAACTTCGCAGTTTCCTTTCGTCCGGTCACTGTTTTGTAAACAATATTAACACGCCTCTCCCACAGGCCAGACCAAGTCCACCGTGATCCCGCATCGAAGAATCGAAACTTCTCGAATTAATTATCTTTCTTTGTCACTGCACGGTGTACAATCGATCGTCCATTATACCGCATGATTTCCTTTCGAGATTTGCGGTTAATAGATTCGTTCAGGCACACGGAGGCAGGCTTCGATGAATTACGAGATAGATAAAAGATAAACACGAACACAGAGAGACGGAGGAGAGAGAGAGAGAGAGAGAGAGAGAGAGAGATGTTGCGTAAACTCGATGACGAGATGGAAACACGGCGTGGTAGGGAGCATCGGTCGGTTTTGCGTTTCCACGCTGCTTTTTCCACGCTGCGTCGACGTAGCACGGAACTAACGAGGACGTCCTCTCTCGCGCGCGGCTCCCGCGACACTGCCGGCCGTCCGNTTCGCTATCGTCGATTTTATACGCGCCTTGACACAGGCCGGGTCACACCGCGGTTCCTTATCTCCTCTTCATAGACAATCCTTTGCACTAATATATATATATTAATAATCATATATTAATAAACATCTATCGTACAATTTATACGAATTTTAATTTCGTTAATCTTTTCTTCCTCTCGTCGATTGAATTTTTTTTTTTTTTTTTTTTTCTTTAGAAATTCTTTTTAGAAACTTGAGTTTATCGTGAAGTTGGTGATGTTACCGCAGACTCAAGCTCGGATTAACTTCTGGTCAACTGTCAATGCAACCTCGTCGATCAATCTTCTTCGTTTTCATCAAATTCCACGGATTATCCAGAAAGTAATGAATCGTAATTGAATCTCGTGCAAGTTTGTAGAATGTTCTGTGACATTTTACAATTATTTTTTTAATTCAATAGTTTGTTCGTTTTAGAAAATTATTTTCTTTTTTCTTTTTTCTTTTTCCAATTGTAAAATGGATAGATATTTATAAAACGACGATATTTTTTGTTATTTATATTCTTCCCTCTTTCGAAACATGTCTTCAATTCGTAGAAAATTATCAAACAGAAATTGAAAAATACGTATACACGTGTGCGTGAATAAACGTGAATGTGACTTGATTTTACGAGCGTCAGCTTTTCTCGACCAGCTCGACCCGCGGCCTGCCGTCGACTGACAGAAAATACCAGCCGGGACCCCGAAGAGCGCTCTGAGGGCCGGACAGAGGGGCGGAAGGAATCGACAATCCGTGTCGAAACGCAGCGCAACTCTCCGCATCTGCGCCTCCGCCTTCCCGCTTCTGCGACGATCACGAAAATCATCGAAGATTCTTGTCCTCGGCAAACAACGATCTCGAACCGATTCTTTTTTTTTTTCTTTTTTCGGATCCTTAATATATTTGCTTTGCCCCTCCGCTCCTATCTTTATAGAGCGTTCATCGATCGAGAAGGTAATGTCGTTTGTCTACGAGTTGAAAAAAAGTAAATCGAACCAAACCCATGACTCCATCTTCCACGGCCACGAATTTCCCAGAAGACGTTTCAAGAGATTTTATAGTGGAATAACTTTATGATCGTTTCATCTTTTTTTCTTCTTTTTTTACCGATCGCTTCAAGTCTCAGAACACAGATGTCAGATGAAAATAGATGAAGCTCGTACACTTGTACAAACATCTTCGTGTCACGAGTCAACCCTATGGACTAATGTGTCCGCATACTGGACCTACACACACTCCCTCTGTCTCTCTCTCTCTCTCCTCCTTCTTTCATCTCTCGCCATATCGATCATCCGATTCATCTTACACTCTCCACACTTATTATCCGCGTATATTTGACGAGAGATACATACGTAACAAGGTTGTATCTCTTAAAAGTCATCTCCGTACCTACGCAACCCTTAAAACCGGTACTTATATGCTTCATCGTCTAGCCGATATATTCGAGTTATGACAGGATGGTAACGGTGTCGATGGGGAAACATTGACATGGGTCCCCCTGCACGGAGGCAAATTACGTTACCACGTGAAACGAAATGCCCCGTACCCCCCTCCCCGTACTATGTCGTACAAGCGCAGTATCAACGGGAACCGTGTTTACATCTCGTCGTGGTGCAGCGGATCTTTACGAGAGGGGCCCATAAACCCGTACTTGCTGCACCACACGTATTTACACACGAGCCTCGCCATCGTTCCGACCGATCATCGAATCGGAAATCAAGTTTCCAACGTAACGTGAAATTTTTTTATTTTCTATCGACGAGCAAACAACGCGATATTAAGTTATCTGTATCTGAAATTTTTCTCAGCCATTTACATAATCCGTCCAACTGTGGGCACATGAGAGTGGAAACACGAAGAGCGGATAAACTCGAGTCGATAACGGGAACAGTTTTGTAATAGCGTAATAAAAAAATATTATCGATTAATTACCGAATCGATACATTTTTAATATATGTATCGGGATGTGTTCATTTTCTGTTGAAATGGGCGGATTTCGAATGTTTGCCTGGTTTTCTTGATAGCTCAATTAAAATCGCGTTAACACTTGTTAACATTCGAGGTGATTAACTATAATTAAAATATACGTGGCAGTTAATTAAGAAAATTTTGCGAGTATTTTTTTCTCATTAACAATGAAACAATGTAACACTTCGATTAATAAATTTTTAAAAGTATCGTGGCAATATGTATCCGTTCAATTTACGTTCCTTCATTTCCTTTTTATCCTTGCCATTGTTTTAACAATAGTAATTTTTACTTCACAGGCTGTATAAAGTGACCCACATAAAGTCTCACGAGTTATTTTCTTGCTAAACTAACGAAGATATCGACTTCTCTTTTTTTTTTTTTTTTTTAATCAAATTCACATTTGATCTTTTGCTGCGCAATAAATTTAAACTCTTGTGAAATTCTTCTATTGAATTTTTTTAAATGAAAAGTGACCCATTTCTTTTTCCTTTTTTTAAATTATTAACACGAAGAGTTTTTACGTTGTAAATGTTTGGGTATAACTCGACGAGCAATTTCGTTGCCGTACTATATCTTCATCGATACAATTACACATGCACGTAGTAGGTACGTAGTTGCGCAGCGTCCCGCAATTACAATCGAAGAGCTGCCCCCTTTCACGGCCACGAAACGAGATTCCAGGGCCTGCAGGGACCCCGGCCAGATAAATCATCGGCTTCTTCGAAGTGTCTCTTCTTTCCCGATGTCCGTAGTCGCTAATTAAGTTTGCAGAACGCTGTTGGTGCCGCTTCTGGCCGCATAACGAGGCGTGTGTAACTTTCTGTTCAGCGGGAGGTAATGCGAGTGGAATACTTAATATCGCGGGCACCCGGCCTCGGATCTCTTTCTGGGCACGTGCTGCTCGCCTTAGGCCAGAAAGGGTTGTGAATCCGGAAGGCGCGGCCACGTTTTCTTCGTTTCCACGAAACAACTGTTAGAGAGGGGGAGGGGGAGGAAATTACACTACACCGCGTTGCAGAGAATCTTCTATGGAGTGAGCCTTCTGAACGAGTAATAACGATTGTAGAAGTTGAAGGAAAAACTTTGGCAACTTTTTAAATTGCCAAGATAAACGTTGAAGGTATTTTTTTTTTTTTTGGATTTACTTTGCTTATATGATAAATGATATACGATGAAGATACACGTTATCTCTTGTTCTGTGAAATTTTCTCAAACTTTTCTTGATGATATTGAAAACTTGCTTTACTTTTCTCTACGTTATTTTATCATTCCTTCGCTGTTTTCGAATTGTTATTCCATGGAAAAACTGGGAATAATTTCCCTCAAACTTCTTCCTCCGTTTCCTGGATCTTTCGACTGGACACTTTCTAGTAACTTTCCAAAGACGTTCACGGAACTCAGGTAATCGCCAGACGTAACAGTGGAACAGTGTAATCATCGACGACCACCGACTAACTACAGGTTACTCGGCCAAAGGATGGTCGATAGCCCGACGATCTCAAATAGCGCCGGTAATCATAGAAAAATCGAAGATCGTCGTATTCCTCCACTTTTATTCTCCCTTCGTATTACAAAATTACATCCTCGGACGGTTCGAATCGTAATCTCTACCTAAACGTACCATTTCCTGGAACAGAAACCCATCGCAAATTATTCCTCGAGAGAAAATCTCGTAAAAGTTTGCTCGCCGGCGAGACAACGGCGATAAAATAAAATTTAAGGCAACAAACTTACTCCTCCCCCTTATTCCAGATCGTATCTGCTGAACGTTCGCTGTTTTTCCAACGCATCTCTCCTTCCGGAAGATCTTTCTTTTCCGTTTAAAGGCGTTGCTTCGAAAGCCATCTCCGCGTCGAGGAATTAGGCACGCGCGCGAGATATCATAAAAGAGAAGAAAACCAGGCCAAAGGATCGTAAAGAATCGGGTCAACCAGAAGATGAGAAAACTTTTGCCCTTTTCCTTAACGCGTCTCGTCTCCTGGATAACGAAAATCCTTCTCCTTAACACATTTAATATCGCGATAAAAATCGAAGTAGGTCTCCCGTGGCCTTCGAACATTGTTAAATAGAAAGAAGACTTGTAAAACATTGAGAAATTTAACGAAATGTAAAATAATTGTATCAGTGACAATTAATATTATTAATATTCTAAATTATTCAATAGAAAATCAAAGTTTTAGGAATTTAGTACCATTTTTTCGATATTGATATCTCTTAAACTAGCAAACTTTATCGAAATCAATTGCCACATTTAATATTTTACAAAGATTCTACGATATCTTTTATTTCACTTCCTTCACTACCATTTCCTTCACTTCAAAATCTTCAGATATCGATCCTAGTGACAATACTTAAGAAAATGTGTGGAAAATATTTGTCCGTCTTTCGCATCGCCTACTTGAAAAAAATTGATAACGCGATCGTGCGCGACACGATAGAAAATCCGCAAGAACATTCACGTCATCCGCATCGGATGTGTTAAACGAGAGAGATCGAACTGGTTCGCCCTGATATGCCCTGGCCTCGTTATAGGTGGAACGAAACGTAATATAACCCTTGCCGATCCGGGCTTCTCGGTTGTAAGGGTGGGCCAGTGACGTACGCGGCCGCGGGGTGCAGAGAGGAGGAGGTTGGTTCGAGGGAACAAAGTTATTCCGGAGACCACGAGAGAGCCAAGAGGTCAGCCAATTCCAAGGGATCCTCTCTTTCTCTCTCCCCCTCCCTCTCCTCCTGTTAACTTTCGCGAGGCTACGTCAGATAGCCAAATGGGCTGTGTGCTCCGCATTGGCCTGCATTTTCCTTTCCTTCCCTTTCCACCGATCTATCTCACCGACGCTCTGATCGAACGTTTCGCAGCTTTGGTTGTCGGTTTCGATAAAGAGGCGGGCAGAGATGTTGATTAATTGAACGTCACCCGGTGTTTTCGACCATGCTATGGATTAAAATGAATCAAAAACGATCGTTTATCAAACACCAGCTTTCCTCGCTGGCTTATGGAGAACTTTTAAAGATGAGTAAGTGATGAAGACTTTAAAATTTCTTTTTCTTGCTTCTTCTTTTTCTCCTTTTTGCTTTTTACATTGGAGCAGAGGAAAAATCGGTGTAAATTAAAATATTTATTGAAGAGATAGGAGAAT